AGGGTATTTTAACAGAGGGGTGGTTTTCTGGTTTCTCTTTTTCTCTGTCTTCTCTGGGGAGCTAGAAAGCTATCTGGGAACGTTGTAGCCATTAAACAGACTTTTTAAAATTTGGTTTGATTTGGTCTGATTTGGATTGTTGTGTCGGCAGACAGGCTTATCGGGGTGCAGGAACTTTCAGTAGGCACCTTCACTCGACTTGCAGTGAGCTGTGGGCAGTAGGAGTATGGAAGAGGTAACACACATACACAGATCACACATACATAACACTCACATAATATACACACATTATACGTATCATACATAATACATATACATCACCCCCATACACATATCACATACATCACACACTTACATAATGTACCCACACATCACATATAATACACACACATCACACATACGTCACAGACTCACATAATATACACACACACTGTACACACACATCATACACATAATACACACCCCACACACACATCATATACCACACATACATCACACATCATACACATTCACACAACGCATACTTCACAATATGCCACACACACACACACACCACATACATATTACACATCACACATGCTAACACATCACACACACATTAAAGATATAAAATAACCCTTTAAATGCCAACCTCATGTCCTGTTTTGTAGGAGTGCTGTCCCTTAGCCAGCTCAGCCTTGTTGGCACTGTACACTTTCTATCTCCAGTTTGTAAATTGCCTTGTATGCAGCTGCATATGGTGCTCTGTTAACCTTGGCTTCCCCCTTAGATAGGTTCCTGAAAGTGGGGTTCTCGATTGGCACAAGCATTTTCTCAACTTTATTACAGTACAGACCACCAGGCTCAGCTGATAGGTTGTTTTCAGTCCTTCATCTGGGCCTGACTCCAAAAATGAATTCTAAAGCCATCCCTCCCTTGGGCCAGGACATGGCCTGTGAGGAAGTGAGGTCATCTGATAGAGTTTACCTTACTTACTCCCGTAGAAACTGTGCTTCAGGTTAGATCTGAAACCAGGCAGCTTTCGGGCCAAGGCTGTGATCTTACTTTGTCTTATCTATGTCTGAGCATGCGGTACACATAACATTAATCATGTCATCTGGGGAGTGTCTCACAGCACTGCTAGCACAGGGAAGAGTGTCTCCCTGAATGTTCCCCTCACCAGCTGTCTGGTGGTTCAAATGTGCCGACTCAGCAGATGCTTCTCAGCCAGACTCCAGGTGGCCTTCCATGGTCTTGTGTGGAGCCTGGCCTTGTAGCCACCCTGGGGGTGACACAGAGGTTGGGGCCAGGCTGGTGCATGAACTCCCTGCCTCGTTTTCTTCCTCATCGATGATGGCATTTTGAGCTGTTGGCTTGACTGGAAGGGTGTGACCTTTGTTTTAGCCTGAAGCAGAAGGCAGGGACAGATGTGCCAGTAGTTCCTGGTGTGGAAGGAGAGCATTGGGTGTAGAGTCAGGAAGCCAGAGGTCCGCTCAGGCTCAGTCAATCTCTGTGTCTTCCCAGTGCCTTGGCTTGTTCTCTGGAAAGGGATGGCTAGGGCAGGTCCTTTCTCAGCATCCTTAGAATAGGACAGGGTAGTGGATATGGATGGACAGGGAACTTGCTGTAGGTTTGGGCCTCAGAGTTGAAAGCTGGATGTGAGCATGTTAACTCTGAGAGACATGTTAACAACCATGGAACACATGAAACTCGCTGTTTCCCCCTGGTGATTCATACCTGTCCTTGGAACCTTTGTCCCAATGTCCCCTTCTTGGTGGCTGGCATTAGCAGTGCTCAGTGTGTACAGTGATGTCTCTTTCCCTAGGCATTTATACCTGTTGCCGTGAGCATACTTGTCCTTGGTCCCACTCTAGTGCACCGTCGGTCTCCTGCCGCTGTGCTGAAAGTAATAAATGAAACATCTAAATTGAAGATGTAGCTAGTTAGAACCGTGTCAGCAGTTGGAGGTTAATTGGCTGTGGAGAGCCACCCTGCCATCTTTTGTTACTCTGTGCTGGTGACTTACACCCTCAGTGTTTGTGTATGTGTCCCATTAAGGAGGAGTGAGGAGCTGCCCTTGCCTTTTTAGATCTAGTAGCTTTTTCTTAAATCATATTCTTCAGGCCTTCTGCCTGATATACTTATTTAAAATAACAATCAGGTAAGCCTACAGACACAAGACAAAACCTAACCCTTGCCTCTCAATTCCATGTGGGTTTAGGCTCCGTGACAGATTTTTGTGTGAGTATACCCTAGTTCAGTCATCTCCTGAATTGATTGGGTTCTGTGCTGAGGTGTGGGGGACAGGAATGTATTCAGAGAAGACTGGGGAGCGACACAACCTCATCCTGAGGTGGCTTGTGCAATTCAGATTCCCATCTCCCGGGGTCTCCCAGAGGGGAAATTCTTGGCTCAGGCTCCCAAGAACTGGAGCAGAAGATGTATTTGAAGCAGAGGGAGGTGAGAGAGTGAATGTCCCGCAGAACAGCTCTCAGATCTGTAAATAAAAGCTGATAGATTCATTTTGGGATCTTTCCAGAAACTGTATTCCCAGGCTATTTATTTTAGGTTCCTATTTTAAGGTTTGTTTTTTTGGCAAAAGAATGATAAAGGATTGGAGTGTTCTCAATTCTTAATAGGGAAACTTCCAACTTGGGGGTGATCTGGAGCAATCAGTTACCATGCTCACAGGCGAGCTGGCTGTTCTCACAGTGGGCACTGCCTCAGGCAGCCCAGGAAAACACAGAAATGCAGGGCATACAGTCTGGAGTGAGATACTTCAACCCATTTAAACCACAAGAGGAAATGCCTATTGAGTGCATGCACCACACACACAAACACATGCTCACTCACTCACTCACTCACTCACTCACTCACTCACTCACTCACTCACAGCAAACACACAAACCACACACCACAGACACACACAGACACACAGACACACAGACAGACAGACACACACACACACACACACACACACACACACACACACACACACCTTGAGCATCACTGGGCTGGGTTTCCAGGCAGATCCCAGACCAGGGAAGCAACCGAAGTTGCTTACTGTCTTTCATACCCAGTGGGCATGACTAGTACTGGATATCTTCAATGGCCATCAGCTGTGCCTGAAACCATATTGTGCCTGACAACTCTGAGAGGGTTTTTTGTTGTTGTTTTGTTTTTTTAATAGTATGTGGTTTGGGAAGTTCTGCTCTTGCCATGTGTTAAAGTCATGCATACATATATACATGCATATATACATACATGCAAAGGGATTATTGATACCTATGAGAAGGGATTTTAAAAATCTAAAACTTGTATCCTTGTAGTATTTTTGACTTTTAAAATGTTATTTGTTATTGTGTATGAGCACATGCATGCTGCAGCACACATATAGAGGTCAGAGGACAACTTTGTAGAATCCGTTCTCTCCTCCTGCCTTTGCATAGGATCTGGGATTTGAACCCTTGCTGTCAGGCTTGCATGGAAAGCACCTTTACCTGCTGAGCTATCTTGATGGCCCAAGGTGAGCTATTTTTAGATATGAAAAATCCGTGTGGCAGAGAAGGGAGGAACACATTTAGGGTTGGAGCAGTGTTATTTTGAAGCTTTGTTTCCTGGGATTGGTTATTTGATCTCTTTGAGTGCCAGTTTCTTAATGATGGATAGGAAAGTTTGAAGTGTGGAAAACATAGCAGTGTATGCTCCATATAGATGTCTTTTGCCACTGTTAATGCTATATGTGGTGGTTGCCTTTATCCTACATTGAATTATTATATTCTAATACCAAAGGCCAGCAGGCCTCTGTTGTTTGTGAAACTGATAGGGTCAGTTTAGTTGGGGCTACTCATACCTACTCGTCACACAGATGCACACTGGCAGCCACGGAACCAGGTCCAGATCTTCTTAGGATCCCTTGTGATACCAACACACTTCAGGTGTGTGTGTGTGTGTGTGTGTGTGTGTGTGTGTGTGTGTGTTAATTTGCTTGATACCAACACACTTCAGGAGAGTGTGTGCTTATGTAGGTGTGTGTGTGCATGTGGGTGGGGGGTATTCAAGAGTGTGTCTTAATTTGCTTTCTCAATATAGTCTAAAATTTAATTATCTAGAATTCTCGGGCCTCGTTCTGGAACTTCCACCCCGGTGCTAAGAATTGAACCTCTTTGTATGTGCTAAATAAGCATTCTGCCACTGGGCAACATCCCTAGCCCTGGAATGCTTTTCAAAATAAAAAGATAAGGCATCGGAATTTAATTTTCTCCAGTGTTTGCTAGTCCACATTAGCCTCCCCCAAAATACCCAGGTGCCATTGGAGGCCAAGGGCATGGTTCCTCCTAAGTACTTCCAATGGGTGAGAACAGACTTACTTGACAGTTTCGGTGTGACATGTGAGTGGATGGAGAGGGGATGTACAAACTCAGACACCCAGGGCATGAGGTAGTCCTTAGAGTGACAAGAGAAAGAATAAGTGGATTGAGTGAGTGGGGGCTGGGATGGGAGGGTCTTGGGCAGAGGAGATACACAACAGAGACACCGAGGAAGAAGCTGGCTCTCGTTGACCAGCCTAGGCTTCAGAGAGCACGTAGTCCCTCTGTAAGGCTGTGACAGGATGTCCTGAGATTTAGTGGGGGATGAGTTGATTGGCACCATCTACATTTCTAAGAGGCGCCAGGACTCCCTCTTAGACGAGTGGCCAGTGCAGTGATGGGCCGAGGACGATTCTGGGAATAGATGGGGGTATCTGAGATTCTTCGGGTGTGCTGCAGACCAGGGGACCTGATGGGACGCTTTCTCTCATGTCCCTGGCTGCTTCTTTGGGCACAGTGGTTTGAATTTTGGACTAGTGACATTGTTTCTGCTCCTGCAACCTGACTTGTGCTCAGTGTGTACTCTGAGGGTGTGTTTTCCATGTTTAAGTCCCGGAACCTGTTTGGTCTTGTGTGTGACCCAGAAGGGCCTGGCGGTGCAGGACGCGACTGCAGCATAGGTACCTTAACAGCCCCTGCTTGCTCTTGCAGCACACGTTGAAAATGAGGAGCAGTACACCCAGGCCCTGGAGAAGTTCGGCGGCAACTGCGTCTGCAGAGATGACCCGGACCTAGGAAGTGCGTTTCTGAAGTTCTCCGTGTTCACCAAGGAGCTGACAGCACTCTTCAAAAACCTGGTCAGTGTCCACTGTGTGTGCAGCTCCAGTGTGTGGAGTGACATGAAATGCCCCTCTTGCTACCCTGAGAAGGTGGCCCAGCAGCTGGCCAGGACAGCTCAGTTCTGATAATCCAGGGAGATATTCTCTGCAGAGCCTGAAATAACCAAACTTGGTAAATTTGGAACCAAGTTTACAGTTTTAATTTTTCTTTTCTTTAGTATGACTTAAATCCAACCTGGCACTTTTAATGCTTGGGTGCAGGATGGATTGGGTAAATGCTCTCATCTTCTTCAGGACCCCTGACTTTAGTTTCTAGTAGTTTTAAAAGTGAAGACTGGTGTGTTCTGGGTGGTGTCTAGTATTCTTTCAGTGGCTGTGAAGAGACTCCGTGATCAAGGCAACTTATAGAAGAAAGTTCACTGTGGGCTGGCTGGCTAACAGTCCCAGGTTAGCGTTCATGCCCAGCATGGTGGGGAGCATGGCAGGCAGGCGGGCGGGCGGGGCAGGACATGGCAGCAGCAGGCAGACAGGGTGCTGGGGCAATAGGTGAGAGACCCACATGCCACACAAGGCAGAGAGAGACAGACTTTTGAAACCTCAAAGCCCACGCTCCATTGACACACCTCCTCCTGCGAAGCCACACCCCCAACCCTTCCCAAATAGTTCCACCAACTGGGGACCAAGCATTCAGTAGATGAGCCTGTGGGGGCCATCCTCACTCAAACACCACGTGACAGCATGGATCCAGGTTGATCATATCTAACAAATAGACTCTTAGGAAGCAAAGACTCACCATGGATATTTAAAGGACTTCAGGACTGAGAGAAAGGGCCTGGCTCCATGAGCAGAGAAACACAGGGTGGCATCTGTGGCCGTTATTTGGCAGCATGGGGGTGGACCAGCCATGTCTTGTGCTCGATGCTCAGTGTTGTTCCTGCTGTGGGAATGGGATTCTGAAGAAGCCAAGAAGTAGGCAAGAGTTTGTGATCCTGCCCTGGTGGGTGGTTGATTCCCCAAGTGGGGTGGGCCCTTGAGAGCTCTCCAGCATTTCCTTCCTGTTTTTCTCCCCCAGCCTCTCCTAAAGGCTCCAGAAGGCCAGGTCAGGCCTCAGCCATGTTCTCTGAGGAGGTCACAGGCCAGCAAATGTTTTCATTTCTCTAGTGGACTCATCCCAGAGACAGCGGCTGTGGTGGTGGTGGTGGTGGTGGTGGTGGTGGTGGTGGTGGTGGTGGTCTATGGGGCTGTGTCTGTGGGTGGGAAGCAGGGAGGGTGGTATATGAGTTTATTACAGGAAGGGCAGAGAACAGGCTTTAGGGCTGTCTCTCTACTCATCTTCACTTGAAAATACTTTCTTTCAAGCAAACAGCTGTCACAATGCTTAGGTTGTTTTGTTTGCCAGTTTGCTTTAACTTGACTGAATTTGAAACCTCTTGGCATTATAAAAATTTGTCACCCTTTGTCACTGCCCCAAACATTGACAGGCTACATACTGCCTCTTGGAGCCTGCTTCCCCTAGGATTGTGGCAGATGTGGTTCAGAAGGGAGAATGGGCCACCTTTGCACAACCCAGGGTTGACATGGCAAGTTCCCTAGGGACAAGTCACTGTGTTTCCCAAATTCTGAGTCAGCCTGAGTAAGCAGGAAAAAGGACGTGGGGGAAAGAGAGTGATGCAGAGGGCAGAAGACATTAAAGCAGGCGTATACGCAGGACAATCTGAGAGAGACCTGAAGAAACACTGCATATATAGGGGGAGATGGGATGTTTCTGGTTATTGGAAGGGTTGGAGGTGTGTGAGACCATTAGTGTTTGAAAGTATAAAATTAGACTCTGGGGACAGCCTGGACTACTGAGTGAGTTGCAGTCCAGCCTCCAAAACTACAGAGAAACCCTGTCTCCAAAAACAAACAAAACAAAACAAAAATCTTAGGGCTAAGGAGATGGGTTAGTTGGCATTGTAGAATGCTTGCTTCGTGTGCATGAGGGTGTGAATTCAGATTCCCAGGTTCCATGTATAAAGCACACTTGTAATTCCATTGAAGGCTAAATGGGAGACAAAGCCACGTGGACCCCTGGAAGTTGGCAAGCTAGCTAGTCTGGGCCTACACGGCGAAGTTCCAGACCAATAAGAAGCCTGGCTTGTATAGAACGCAATCTGAGGACAAACACCCAAGTTGGTCCTCTGACCTCTGTACTTGGCGTCTGTGTTTAAGCATTTTGCATGTTTCTCTCTCTCTCTCTCTCTCTCTCTCTCTCTCTCTCTCTCTCTCTCTCTCTCTCTCTCTCCCTTTCTCTCTCCCTCTCTCCCTTTCTCTCTCCCTCTCTCTCTAAAACAGATCAAGAACTAAAGGGAAAACATCAATTAGGAAACAGTAAGGATAAACCCCCAGCTAGCCTTGGACACAGCAGCAGAACTGGAAATTCATAAGATGTGGCGATGCCCTGAAATCCTCAGGAAAGAATAGCTCTGCCTGGCCTCAGGCCAAAGCCACTGATCTTGAGCATAATATTAAAGATGTTAGCACACACACAGGGCTCCAGATGGTTAGGTTAGCATGGATTAGGATAGCATGCATTGCTTCTCTGAAATCCCTACAGGATGTGCTTTAGCAAAGGAAGAGGAAAACAGGAGGAAGTGTGGTTCCGATGGGAAGGTCGACAGTGAAAGGCAATTGAGGAGATGCAGAGAGCAGCCCCCCCCCCAGCTGGGGGTATTGGAGGCGGGTGGGGAGACACTTGTGCTCTCTCCCCAAATCCCCAGGCAACTAGCTCTTAAAATGTCTGCTCACTCATCTCTCTGGACTTTCTCAGCTTATTTTAGATACAGACTAAAACCAGCCAGGTGCTTTCCCACTTTTTTAGCTCGTTTAATCTTTCTTCCAATTCCATAAATTGAGTCAGTTTTACGCCTGCTTTATAGAGTGGATGATGGAGGGCCCCGATGGTGTACAGAACTGAAATATCTCTACAGAGGACAGGAACGCTTGGTCACTTTGAGAGAGTACTGCTAATAAAGAAAGGCCACCCCAACATCCCACACCTTGGGGTCTGGAGTTACTCTTGTGTGGGCAGTTGTACAGCTAACCTAAAGTAGTTCTCGCCATCTCTTATTTTCTCTACAAGCACAGAGCAGAGCAGATCAGGGCCTCGATACTGTGCCTGGTTCATTGCTCACCATACTGTGGCTTTGCCACTTTTAGCACTTGAAAACTGTCACCGAGTGCACTTGCTGTCAGACCGCAGAGTGGAAGTCTCAGGGCACCATGTGGTGGTAAGCATTCGTGGTGAGGCAAATATGGGCATTAGAGATTCTCTGTTTCCTTTGCTTCTGGTGAATGCCATGCACAAGAGTTTGTCCTACTACCTTGTGAACATGGGGTGCATAGGCTAAGTGATTTATAGGACCTTAACTGTTGAGAGACTGAGCTAGGTGTTCATGTATAACCCAGACTGGTGGGCCTTTCCACTGTTGACACCCAAGGAGGCTGCTTATTGGGATTTGGAGGGATGGAAGGATGGAAAGTGAGAGAGAGCAATGTAGGGTTAGGTGCAGTAGAGAGACATGCAGACAGCCTGAGGGCTGGGTTCCCTGCTGAAAGAACAGGGAGATAGATGGCTTGCCTCATACGCCAGTGTGGAAGCAAACTGAACAAGCAGGAAAGGAAAGGCTTGCAAAGCGCTGCTGAAGGCCTAGGTGGTCTTTGGGGGTTGTTCTGACCTGGGAGTTTATGAAACTTGGCCCTGGAAACTTTGAGGACTTGTGCCTCGCTTTAAATTTCAGACCTTTCACTTTGTGGAGTGTTGGTCTTGTTTTCCAGCAAAGATGAAGACAGACAAAAATCTTCCATGAGCCTAACTTAGCGCTTGGGGGAACTCAACTTTTCGGGGGAGGGGGTGTACTTTCAAAGTCTTGTTTTGGGTCACCTGTCCCATCCCGCATTTTGGGGGGGGGTCCTTTGGTTTCCCACCAACATTTAAAAAGCATTTAGTATAGTTGAAAATCTCAACTCTACCTCTTTCCAAAAAAAAAGTAACAATTACCACCTGCCTGTTTGGAGGTCTGGAAGGATGCTTCCTAAGCAGTTGGGACAGACAGCTCCAGGGAAAGCCAACTTAGTATGAAATGAGTTTTTCCTCCTAACAAGGTGAGACTCTCACCCTTAAAAAGCCTGAACCATCAGGGCAGAAAAAAGAGAGAAAACAGACAGCTTCAGAACTCTAATGTTGCAACATCAAACAGGTCACAAAGGCCGTGTGGTTTCTTAGACTTTGTCCTCCTTCTCAGATGAGCGTGAGAATCCTGGAGAGATTTCCCGAGGACCACTTCTGTGGAGAGATTTTAATGACAAGCTTCAACCTGGAACTGATTTCTGCAAGGTCAGCTGCAGATAAATGTCCTCATCTCTGGGAATGGAAAGTAGAGGAGGACTTCACAGTCGCTGAACCTGCTTAAGGGAAGACCAGAGTCCATCAGAATAGGAGCCAGGGAGGCGGGGCCTGAGGACGGAGTTAGTGTGAGAGCCACAGGACCCAGAGCTGAGGAATTTCCACCCTCTCATAACAAAAGAGGAACCAGGGGTACCACCAAGCATGTCTTTCCTTTGTCATCATTGCTCTTTGTAGCTGCCTGGAATTAGAAGATACCATAGCTGTGAGAGAGGCTCTGTGTGAATGAGCAGCAGCGAGTAGCTTTAGTATGTGATCTGCCTGGTGGAAGGTTATTCCACTTTACCTGCCTTTGCCTCCTGAATGCTGGGGGAGGTGGGGAGCAGGCTTCCTAGGCTGCCCAGGCACAGAGGAGAGCTGAGACGGGACCTAGGGCTGGGCACTTGCTGTACACAAGCTGGTGCTGTATGGGCCAGTGAGTCCCACGTCATCTATCTTTTATGAGCACCTACTGTGTGCTTTGCAGGCGACTAGCGTTCCTGGAGTCCTAGCAGCCTTGAAAGCTGTCCCTCTCTTATTGTGGTGTGAAAATTGATGGTGTTTTGGCAGCTGGCTTTCATTTGGTCTTTGTGTT